CGTCCAAAAACAGAGGCAACAAAATTCCATTCCATAGTCATTTCAACTCGATTTATTATACAGCAAAACACTATTAAGTGAAGACTTTGTCTGTCTGTCCGTCCGTCCGACAGAAGGATAAGGGGAGAACGGATCGAGATAATCGAGATCGGTTTGTGGCATCATACAAACGACCCCTGGGGGAGGATCTTATCAACTTTAAGGGTCGATTGGGCCACCCCTCCCAAGGTCGGGGGTCTCGATTTTCTAGACACCCCCCCCCTCCTCCCTTCCCCCTTTAACATGTGTAACATACGCATGATATCATTGGAGCCTTAGACAACCCCCTCCCGATTTACGTAATTTATGGACGGCCCCTTATTATAATTACTTCCATCAGTAGTACGAACCTTCCAAAGTAAAGTATTTCCAACAAGTGAAATCATAAAAATAAAAATTTACAAATGATTTCACCTCCTATTTCATTTTTACTTTACGTAATCCTCATCATACTAAACGATTCGTTTAATAAGTGTGCATTAAAGGGGATTAAAATCATATGTAATCCACTCTTCACTAGAAATGTACTTATTTGAGAGAAAGCTCTTTTAACTTTTCCACATAACTTTCGAGTTTAGGATCATTCCTGGCATAAAACTTGTTTCTCTGCTTTCTTTTACTTTCACTCTCCCAGCACATTCGTACCGACACGTTGTATAACAAATAGGTACATGTAATCGCAAAAATAAGTATGTACCTCCGGCACTTCCTCTCTCATATAAGTTGCTTTGTTTTTCTCTGAGTTAAGACCAGAAAGTGATACGTAGTGCCCAATTATAGAAATATATTTTAATAGAATTTTATAAAGTTTTAAGTATTAGTTTACGAATTAAAGTCTAGTACTCAGGACGGATTATTCACGTGAAACGGCAAGTTATTCTCTTCGTATTAAATTAAATTACTCTTTCCCTGGAATTACTTTAATTTCACTACAAGTCGTACACTGTTAGAAATCTGGTATAGTCACGCAGGTATTAATATTTCTCGGTATTAAAGTTGCTACCTCTTGGTATTAAAATTATACCTGTCCGTAGAAATTTCCTAAATACCGCATCATTACTACACCGAATACCGCGTGGGCTTAATTTAATACTGGATTTCTAAGAGTGTACCAAATGGGAGTATTTCTTCAAATCAAGTACAAATTGTTACTTAAATTTCTATTTTCCCCGTTTTGTTAAACTTTTTCATGTAAAAAATCCGTCCTGAGTACTAGGCTTAAATACGAATATAAATACAATTAAATCAGCAATATACACATAACCGTGTGAAAACACATAATAATTAAAGTTAATACACCTTATCTGCATACTTATCATTTTTACACATCCTCACAAAATAATTGATCCTCCTTCAAATACATCCATACATTTTTACGAGTTGCTTTCTCTTTCTCTTATCAAGAAAAGAGTATGCAAGTAAGATAAGTATATATCTCGCCATGAAAAAAATTGCGAAATGAGCGTGGTGCTTTCTCCATCACATGGCTCAATTTATTTCTGAGATGGATGCTGTCTCCCTGACTCGACGGAGGAGTTGCCTTTTTCTCAATTTATTTATTTGTACGTACCCCAACATCAACAACTACGCGATGCGGTGTGGTGGAATGCTGTGGGCTGCTGTAATCACCAGAAAGAGAAAGCGAATGAGGAACATTAGTTCGAGTTCCAACCGGTGAAAGCTTTTTATTTCCATTACTTTTTCTCGCTTTCTATTGCCTAACATCACATTCTCGTCTGCCCTCCTGCCAAAACTTGCCTGCTTTCTCCCAATTGCAGAGGGAAAAGTTGGTTGCTGAAATTGTTGCGGTGGCTGCAGACTTTTTCGCAGAACGAGTCCAAAATATTTTTCATGATGCAAATTCTTCTTCTTCTTCCAAAGGGTTGCTGCTGGTTGTTGTGGTTTAGCGAAATTCATAGCGGCGATGACGGTCATTCCTTTCTATGTTATTGTGTCATAAAGTGAACCAAATTTCATTTTGGTTGGGGGGAAATGAGGGCAATAATTTTGTTACGGTTCTTTTTTTTTACTATTTTACATAATTTAACTTCAATTTTCTGTAAGCCGTGTGGATAGTAGAGATATTTTGGAGAAAGTACGATTCTAAAATGGATGGACGGTTAGAAATCTAGTATAGTCGGTCAGGCAGGTATTGCTTTCTCGGTATTAAAGTTGCTACCATTTAGTATTAAAATTATGCTAGTGATATGGTAAAACTTTACTACCGAGATATAACTAGACAGTGTTACTTATCGACACCACTTTGGCAGGGTCATATATGAATGAATACCGCTTGGTATTATTTGAATTAATTCTTGAAGCATATAGATTTGATAAATTTGGCCCATTTTCCTAGTTTCAGTTCGTCCATATCTGTACACGGTTAAAAACCTGGTAGAGTAGTCAGATACATACTCCGTTTTAATTTACTTTCTCCCCGATTGGTAGTAGTTTGTTTCTGAATGGTAAATTTCTCATTAGTAATGAGTCATTACCAAAACATTACTAAACGGTAATGCCCCTTATTATCAGTGCCGGTGGAGTCATATACGTACGTACTCCGGTCAGTAATTATTTAATACCGATTTTCTAAGAGCGTATGTTAATTTTGACGCATTTATCGTCACATTTTACCATTTACTTCCAGTCCATGTATATCTAAAGCCTGATGTCAACCCCTTCCCAAATATGTTTACCGTGTCAGATTTATACTTCATTAACACAATAGAGTCCTAATTGTATATGCATGACCCGATATCTCGACCAGGACGAGGCAGAGAAAGCTGCAACCACCGCAAGACACGGACAGGTTTTGGTGGTGGAAAATCTCTCGGAATCGGTGAAAGCGACCTTGCTTATCTCCCCGCCTGCTGAAGTTTCCTTCCCATCCAGCCGCCCTCAGTTTTCCGAGCCTTTCACCAAACTTCTCCTCCTCTAATAATGGCCATATCAATTGTCCACGTTCACTCCACATTCCAATTCACAGACAGATTCCGTTCAAAGATTGGGCACACAGTCGGACCTGAATTTATTTAAAACGAGGAAATTGAACGTCATTACGTAGACCTTAAACAAAATCTGACAACGCGATGTTTCATAAGTGCCAATAGTCACAAAATTGTAATCGTTATCCTGCATCACAAAAACCCAGAGTGCAATAGCCCGAGTCAGGGTGTTATCAATATAATATGATCACTGTAACTTATTTATGATTCGACGGATTTTTCGAACATCCTTCATAATTTTGAATGTTCTCCAAAATTTCAAATCGATTAGACAAGTTTTACCAGCATAATCGACACACCGACAGACAACCATGCCGACTACATAAGCCCTAACTCTGGCCAAAACGTCATAATCCCGAATTTATGCATACATTGCGTAAATCACGACTGAAAACTTTACAATCATAATCGATACACAGACAGACAGACACACAACCATGCCGTGTACATAAGCCCATAAAAAGTCATGACCCTCAATTTACACATTTATTTTTCACCTTGTGCCCATCTTGAGTCAAAATTATCACTCGAAATCATAAGTATCTCTTAAAATTTGCTTTACGTCCCCACCTTAACGGCCCCTCGTACGTACACACTGCACTGCAGCTCTCTCTTTTAATTTGCTGTTTCACATGGCTACTCAGGAGTAGAAGGTCACTACTTGTCGGGCCCCGATTTTGATGTCGTTTGGGTATGTTGTAGTACATGAGTGTAGAAAAAGTGAAGGAGGGTTAGACTCCATGAGCCCATTTACGCCCGCCACACCCCCTCAAACAGGGTATGCTACCCCGGGTTTTGGGGGTATTGGGGTATTGCGGGTTTTGGTGGGTTTTGGGGTAGCAAATTTGAGCAATACCCACGGGTAGTCGGGGTAGTCGGGGTTTTCAAATTTTACAAAATATGATAACAGGGCATTACTAGCAATTCAACAAATTATTTACTTATTAAAATATAATTAATAAGCAGTTTTGTTGCGAAATTACTGAAAAACTGATTTTTTTATTAATTTCTAAACTTAATACATGAGACACTGACTCAGTTTACCCCCAAAACCCCGACTACCCCGACTACCCCGACTACCCGCAAAACCCAGGTAAAACCCCGGGGTATGGGTTTTCAATAGCAAAACCCCGGGGTTTTCCTTACCCTGCCCTCAAAGGCGTCCAAACCCCCAGAGTTGCCGCACTAAATTCATCGCCAAAAATCGAGTTTTGGTCAGATTTTCAAGAAATTTACATTTTTGTGATCCCAGATAGTTGCTCTATCATATCCAATAGCAAACTCAACTTTTTTGAAATTTTCAATTTTTTCAATACATACCCTTGGTCAGAAAATCTTCGAAAATATTGAAAATTTCAAAAAAGTTGAGTTTGCTATTGGATATGATAGAGCAACTATCTGGGATCACAAAAATGTAAATTTCTTGAAAATCTGACCAAAACTCGATTTTTGGCGATGAATTTAGTGCGGCAACTCTGGGGGTTTGGACGCCTTTGAGGGGGTGTGGCGGGCGTAAATGGGCTCATGGAGTCTAACCCTCCTTCACTTTTTCTACACTCATGTACTACAACATACCCAAACGACATCAAAATCGGGGCCCGACAAGTAGTGACCTTCTACTCCTCAGAGAAAATATTTTCCTGCTTGCCTAGCTGGCAGTGAGGAAAAAGCCGTAAAATCCTCTCCTTCCAATCTCACCAAACTTTACTAGGTGGGAATGAAAGTGAAGTGATATTTTACTTGCTGCTGCTCCTGCTACAGAAACTTTAGTCCAAGAGGAATTTAGTGGAGCAGGAATAGAAGAACACAGAACGCTAAAAACATTTCAAGCAAAAGCAAAACCGATTCCACCACCAGCACCAGCAGAACAAGAGCAGTAGGAGCATCAGCATGCCCACTTTCTCTCCACTTTCTCTCCAGTCAGTCTCTTCTCTTTACCTCCAGCAGATCTCCGATTTCTGGATCAGTACCCGAGTTGCCACCCGCATGGAAGGAAGCAAAGTAGTCTCCTCTCCTCTTCCATATTATTAGTTTTTCGCCTTGGATCGAATTTTCTGTGTGGATCATCTACTTCATATTTTATTTAAGTTACATTTATCGCGTCAAGTGACACTGACAATGAGTGAGTATCGGGCTGGATAAGCGCCCCATACGTATAAAAGTATGTACTTAGTCACATTTTCCGACTTGTGTGCACTTTTGAAATAAATGGCTGAGTGAAAGTCGGCCTGGGTGAATTGTCAAAAGTTGGAAATAATCAAAATGGTGTCGTCCCCCGAGATGTGGATGGATGAAGACTAACTTTATTCACACACTTTTCGGTTTGTCTTTCACTCGCGTTTATCTACTTCTTTTTTTTGTAACCTAACTCGTCCCTTTGTAACTTTACTGGGCGTACATCGATCTATTTATAAGTGAAAGCAAGGGGGGAGAAACGATAACGAGAGAGGGAGAGAGAAAGAAAGCAGACTTTCTCCGAGAGCAAGTATTACATACTTTTGTTACAAAATGAAAAAAAAGTGCATGAAATTCATGTTAGTTCCTCTTGCCGTAAATTTCTGGCTTCTTTAAACCAATAATAATAGTTAATTTCTCAAAAGATAAAATTTACAGTAATTCCTTTTCTTAACCCATTCTTTTACCGTAAATTTCTTTAAATTTCTATAACTTTCTGACTTCTTTCAAGCAATAATAATGCTTAATTTCTCACAAAACGAAAAATAAATGCATAAAATTCACAGTATTCCATTTCTCAATTTCTTTTACAGTTTTCTGCAAATTCCTGTAAATTTCCAATTTCTTCCAAGCAACACGAATGCTTAACTTCTCACAAAATGAAACTCACGAAAACATGAAATTCACCGTAATTCCGTTCACTCTGGTAAATTTCTTCCAAGTAGTAATAACGGTTACGCAATGATACGTGTTGTGAAATTGTGCTCAAAGTTTATTTTTTTCTCTCGTGTGGGATGAAGTGCACACACATAAGACAAAGTTTTGTGGTCCTGTTTGTCTCTATGTGCCAATAACGCGGCTCTCTGTTTTCTCCTCTTTCGAAAGTTGGCAAAAGGTAGTTGGTCGTAGAGAGAGGCCGCCTGATATTCTGTCCATTTGAGGAGAAAGCAGCCTCCATTTGGCGTCCATCGCGGATCTATTCGACATTTATTTCTTCTTGCTCAATTCTCCCAGAAATGATCACTTCACTTTCAATTTTCCAATCCTCGTGGGCTTTACTTCCCCATTAGCGAGGAGAAAGTTAGCCCGTGCCAAAGTACAGATGGGAAAACATGACGTATACCAAAGTACGTAGTGCATCCTCTTTTAACCTAGGACTCGATGACTCATCCCCAAAATTCAACATATTTTTAATCATTTCTCGCCTCTGGGAATTTATTTCAAAATTCTGAACGACTAATTTGTAGAGCAGGAAGTTCCCAATTTTTGGAAATATACCCTCCAGATTTTGACACTTTTTGAAGGAGGAAATCTCAAGTTTAAGAAGCCTTCAGAAAAATTAGAACGCATCGAAACTCACTCAAAAAACTCACCGACATTCAATTTATCAACTCAAATTCTCCGTTCTGGGAATTTATTTTAAAATTCTGAACAACAAATTTATAGAGAAAGTCGTTCCCAATTTAAAAAAAAATATACCCTCCAGATTTTGACACTTTTTGAAGGAGGAAATCTCAAGTTTAAGAAGCCTTCAAATAAACTGGAACTCATCGAAACTGGTTAAAAAAACTCACCTCTATTGCATTCCATTAATCAACTCACTCACTACAAATTCCTCGTTCAGAATTTTAAAATAAATTCCCAGAGGCGAGAAATGATTATTAAAAATGTGCTGATTTAGGTGACAAGTTAAACATCAACTCATAGACATCTTAAAAAGAAAGCATGCATTTTGTTCCCCATTTCATAAGACTTTCTCCAAGATTTCCACCTTCTTGTTTGGATGATCTCTTTAATTCGTCGTCGTCCTAATCTAATTTGGCTGGCACGGGCGGCTGGAGCCCCGCCGTGTGATAGAGTGCAGGAGGAAATCAAATATTTACACGATTACTCAGATCAGTATGTTCAATTGAATGAAAGTGTTTATGCTCCAGGTGTCTGGGGATTTCGCGATAAAAAGAAATTAAATTGCTTGTTTCGACATTGCAAAAAGTAGACGGAATCCGATGCACACATGGCGGAACGAAATCCAACTAATAAACCTACCAAAATATTTATACACGGATCCAGTGGCCGCGGAAGCCTGGGGACAAAGGGACACGGATATTCGATGTCCCCGTCGTCTATCAATGTTATATAAACCCGTCCCGCAATATTAATGTCCCCACGGCTTCCGCAGCCACTGCACTAATTCGCACCAGTTCTTCGGTATCATTCAAACAACAGGGTCGGATTTAACAGTCTTTTACTTTCACGCAGTGGCCGCGGAAGCGTTGGGACAGAGGGACAATACCCCCAAGTTATTCTATGTCCCCATGCTATATAAACTCCTCCTTCCCCCATCCTACAATGTTAACGTCCCCAGATGTCCCCACGGCTTCCGCGGCCACTGCACTAATTAGCAACAGTTCTTCGGTTTCACCCAGTGGCCGCGGACGCGTGGGGACAGAGGGACAATGTCCCCACCGTTATTCGATGGCCCCATCGTCTCCCCATGTTATATAAACGTCTCCCTCCCCCCATCCTACATTGTTAACGTCCCCACCACTTCCGCAGCCACTGCACCACTAATTCTCTCCAGTTCATCCAGAAAACAACAGAATCGGATTTAACCGTCTTTTACCTTCACGGATAAAATAATACCTTTAATCTTAATGCGCAATCACACCCCTGCTGGGCATGATTATAACCTTGAACTCTTCACTTTTCTTTATGGGTTGCGTTTCCCCATTTTTGTAGATTTTGTGTAGATTGGATACACATATTTATGCACACACATTTCTAAAAATCTATAAACCACTATACATATTTACATAATTACTTTCACAAGACGACGGGATTATAACCTTGAAGTTTTAACTTTTATGGGTTGCGTTTCCCCATATTTTGGTACACAAACTACAAATGCGTACCTACATATGTACATTCCTAGAAATCTATGCTATTTATATTTACAAACATGCATACTATCGCAAGACGACGGGAACATTTGTCTCGATACGCTACGCTACCCATGACCCAGAAAGAAAGAAAGAAAGAAAGAGAGAAAGTTATTTTGTGCGTTCCACTTGAGAGAAGTATGTACATACACAAGGTTGACAAATTGTACCAGTTGTTTACCTACAATGTGAACTTATCCTTATAGCATTGTACACAAACCGGGTTAACATTCTGCACTTTTGTCGAACCGATCTGGATTAAATAAATAAGCACAAAAAATATATCTTACTATCAAAATCAAGCCCACGCAGACGGTTAACCAACTTAGAATGGAGGTCTCCCAGCGTATGCTCTCCGATTTTGTTCAAATTCGCGTCAATCAGTCACATATTTAATTAATACAAAATTCGCAAATGACACCATCTCCCAATGGGCACGTTTTGCAGAGATATTTACAATCAAATAGAAGAAAAACTGTACTAAAGCTGACAAATTTTGCACACTTTCCAAATTTACCCCTCGCTTTCTCCTCTCCGGATGCAAATATCTCTGCCAATCGTGCCCATTCGGAGATCGTATCTTTCCCAAATTCCATACTAACTAAATTTCTGACAGATTCAGACTAGTTTTTTTGCTCAAAATCTGTTGGCATACGCTGCAAGACCTCCATTCTGAGGATGCATGTCATCTGTGTAAAGCCGTAATAAACACGCATACATATTTTCTGGAATCAATCGTGTCGTAATTCCATCACTGGCTAAAGGCCAGAAGGACATGTAGTTGTTTCTACAATTGCTTGATGAATGTGTTGCAGCAGGCACCTCACTCGCTTTTTTGTCTGACTGGAATTTCATAGCATTCACTCCTTACATATACCCACGAACGAATACATAAAATCCAGTTCGAGAGAATAGACTGACTTGCTTTATTAGCTCTCTCTCTCACAAGATGTATTGCTTTCACTTTGGGCGACGACTTGTTCCACTTTTTCCTTTACAAAGTTGGCCAACATCCTGCCTTCCATGTACATACTCGTATGTCGACAGTGGCCGCGGAATCGTGGGGACAGGGGGCAATCTTATCCCCCCCCCCAGTTAGGGTTGGTCCCATCCAACCCGATAATATCCGATCCGTTGGATCGGATCCGATATTTTTATCCGACCATTCGCTACAACATGGTCGGATAATATCCGATCCGATCCGACGGATCGGATACATGTTATAGTAAGTGGTAGGATAATCTCGGATAATCCGATCGGATCGGATCGGATGACCAACCCTTCCCCCAGTTATTCGATGTCCGCATCACCTCCCCATCTTATATAAACAATGGAAATACCCCCACATGCCCCCCCGGCTTCCGCGGCCACTGCTTGTCGAATAGAGATCAAGCCACTCAAACATTTCTCTCCTTCTTGATTCCAGATTTCACTCTTTTCTTGCTGCCGAAATGAAGTGAAGTTTAACTTTTCGACTCACTCTTCACTTTCTCCCCACTAAGAAACTTTAAGAAATGTGTGTGTATAAAGAGTTGAATCCGAATAGCTGCCTAATTTGCATAAATAAATAAGTACTTGCCATGCCTTACTGGATCAAACTTCAGACCGGATTAGACCAACACATCCCTGCACAATAATAACAACAAGGAGAACTTTTCAATTCCGGCTGCTACATTAATTATTGAAAGACATTGCCATCTTAATCTTGTTTATAGCAAGATTAACAATCAGCCAGAGTTGCAGTTTCATCAATTCGGAACTTACTTGATTAAGATGAGAAATATACATAAATCTGAAAGAGATGACCTGTGTGGTGACTAAAGAAGTTAAAAAATTCAGTGACCAGTGCTCAAAATGGAGACGCCACACTTAAAATTGACATAAAACTTGGGTACAAATCTTATGAACACTGCAATTTCCTATATTTTTAATGTAGGACTCGATACCGCATCCTCAAAATCAGCACATTTTTAATCATTTCTCGGCTCTGGGGAATTTATTTTAAAAATCCGGACGACAAATTTGTAGAGAAAGTCGTTCCCAATTAAAAAAAAATATACACTCCAGATTTTAACACTTTTTGAATGAGGAGCTCTCAAGTTTAAGAAACCCTCAGAAAAATTGGAACTGTTCGAAATTGGGTGAACAAACTCACAGCCATTTCATTAATCAACTTACTGACTACAAAATTTGTCGTCCAGAATTTAAAAAAATAAATTCCCAGATGCGAGAAACTACAAAAAAAGTATTGATTTTAACGATTTAAAAAAATCCCAGAACCGAGAAATGATTAAAAATGCGCCGATTTTGTCTATCCCTCACCCAGTCCTACATTAAACCATATTTACCTAACCGTCAACTAATAATTCCGTTGCAAAGATAAGATAATTATGGATTCACAGGAAGCCCGGCGACATTTCGGGTGAAAGGAGGACGTCTTCTTCTTCTCATCCGACCACCGAAAATAGCTTTTGCCATGGAGCAACGTGTACGTCCACGTCGTTGTGAAGACATTTTCCTGCTCTGCCCACGACGATCTCTTCTCAGGATCCATTAAATTATCTCCTCTCCGCCCTTATCAGAGGCAACTTTTTCCCTCCTCTCGCTCTCTCTCTGGCTGATGATAATCAGAGCACTTCTTGCTCCGCTTATTTGGCTGAGAGAAAGTTGGGGACAGGGCAGAATTGAGTGGTGGATCTGACAAGCTGTCACGTTGGAGGGAGGACGACGAGTCGTCGTGTCGTCGTCCGATTACTCGTCACATCAACCGCCGACCGCCGCTGAAACTTTTCTCATTGTGTTTAACTTGGGAGTGAAGAGACGTTTCAACAATTCCTTTATTCATATTTTTCGACATGGAGTATCAAGCCATCCGACTCCGCAATAGGAAGCATGTCAGGTTCATCTCCTGGGTAGACATGGTAAGCTCCCTCCTTTCACTAAATACGGTTATTTTATGCATCCACAGTGGCGGCGGAAGTTGAAGGGGGGGATATGTGGGGACATTAGCATTGTTAGGATAGGGGAGGGAGGGGTTTATATGTATAAGATGGGCAGGTGAGGGGACATGAATAACCGGGGGGATATTGTCCCCACGCTTCCGCGGCCACTGATACTTTCACTACTTTCATGTTCAACCCATCCTGCACGGTAATCCTGTTATGCGTGCAGATTAAGCCTGTTTGATACACTATCAGTCCACATTGCAGAAAAAGTTACATGACATGACCTCCAGCGCTGGATGGACATTATGCAAATAATAAAACATTAAATTATCCGACTGGAAATTTTTTTAAAATTAACCCGTACCGAAATCCGTACCGCAATCCGCATCAGTGGTGCACCTAAATAGGGGCCATGTGCCTTTTTCTGCAATTGATAGTGTGTCAAACAGGCTTTGGTATATATCGCGGATATTGCCAAAATCTTATACATGCAGAATTTTATAATCAAACTAATCCCCCAGCGTATCCTCTCCGATTTTGAGCAAATTAGTATCAATCAATAACAAATTTAATTGACATAGAATTTGCAAAAAACACGATCTTCCAATGGGCACATTTGGCGGAGAAAGTGCGCCGTAAATTTAGAAAGTGTAAAATTCGTCAAATTTATGGCCCACTTTCTCCTCTTTGGATGCAAATATCTCTGCCAAACCAGAGGATTGGAAGTTTGTGTCTTTGCAAATTTCATGCCAACTAAATTTGCGATAGATTGACACTAATTTGCTAAAAATCTGAGCGCATACGCTTGTAGACCTTATTAAAAAAATAATATTTAATCTTTCAATTTCAGCTAATTGCGGTAATTATGGTGTCGTATTTTGCCTATAAATTCATCTTCAGCGATCTCAATGACGTCACGAGGCCTCCGTTCAGTCCTGGCAAATGTAAGTGTACTCAATTCCTAAAAATATTCCATTCAAAATAAAGAAAAGTTTTGCATTAAAAAACCCATACTTTGTTTGTTAATTTTGAAGGGCGTGGATTCGCAGAGTTCTTATTCAGCTCAATCTGTATTGTGTACAGCACACAATTTTTTATTGCCTTGCTCCTGCTTTCATCAACCAGTCGGGTGAGCAACACAGAAGTTGGTAACACGGAATTATAAGTAGCAAGTCGTGGTGGGTGGAAGTTAAGTAACGAAATGAGCTGCCTGCTAAAAGATTAAGAACTGCGTTGTGTTTTCCTCCATGAGCAATTGAGTGAGGACGGCACAAGAACAAAGTAAAGCACAAGAAACCACCAGGGTTTCGGGGGAAAGAAACCACGTGCAAGAAATAACGGGGAGAAAGTGGTTTCTTGCAGGTGTTTATTTTGACCTGCAAGAAACGAAATGCAAGGCGCGAGAAACTTCGCCGCGCCGCTGTAGTTAGTACGGCGCGTGGCTAGATGGCGCATATTTCTAGCACTTTCTCCCAGTTTCTTGCACCTCGCATTTCTTGCATAGCTTGCTTTCCACTGCAAGAAATGTAGCAAACCCGTAAGAAGCGAAACATTGGGTGAAAGTAGTCACTGGTGACCCTATGTTTTGGGTGAAAGTAGTCACTGGCGACGCCTTGTTTTGGGTGAAAGTAGACACTGGTGACCCTTTTGTTTTGGGGTAAAAGTAGTCACTGGCGACCCTTTGTTTTGGGTGAAAGTAGTCACTGGCGACCCTTTGTTTTGGTTTGAGTAGTCACTGGCGACGCCTTGTTTTGTGTGAAAGTAGTCACTGGCGACGCCTTCTTTTGGGTGAAAATTACCACTTGCAAGAAATATCGGGAAGAAAGTCGTTTTTGCCGGTAAATATTTTGACCTGCAAGAAATGCAAAGCGCTAGAAACTACTTCGCGCTGCCATATTTCATCCTGCGCGTAACTAGATGGCACATATTTCTTTCACTTTCTCCCAGTTTCTTGCACCTCTCATTTCTCCCATTTCTCACTTCACTGTGCAAGAAATGTGGCAAACCCGCACGAACCGAAACCCTGGTAAGCATACTTACTTTGCTAGTTTAGAGACGCGTGAAAGACTTGGTTGGGTCAACTCTTCGGCTTAATTGGAAGGAGAGCTATTGTTTCCAGATGCGAGTATTAAGCAACTCTCACAACTTTGGCAGCATAACTCGCGATACTACTGCGGCAAGCCAAGATTTCCAGAGAAGCTTCGTGTAATGCGATGCGATGAGGACGGATTAGAAACCGTCGCATTTAGACCGATGTAAATATCTCAAAACTACGACATCTCTGAAACAGGACGGATTTGAGACGCAAAGTGCTCTTCACTTTTATGCACATAGATAATTATCAAAAGTATTCTAATTCAGATCTTAAGATTTCACTCCACATTTTAACATACAGCTCGTAAAATTTCGCGGAAATGGAAATGGTCCGGACACAATTTTAGGGAAATCTTGAATAGAAAGTGGAAAGCACTTTATCAACTTTTCCTGTTTTATGTCTAACCTACTTCCAATCCAGAAATCATTCCCTGTGGATAAATTAATTATGCATGTTGCACACAACGTCTCACATCTTATTTGCATCTTATTTGATACATATTTTATCCATATAAATAAATGCAACTTGTGTATTTATTTATCGTAAATTACGACTTTTTCGACTCGCTAGAAATTCACATATCAATAAAAATTGCTATAAAATAAAAGTAATTAAAACCCGTTTTGTTTTAATGATGCATTGTGAACTGGCAGGACTTAATTTCTCGGCATTAAAGTTGCTACCACATGGTAGAAATATTAAAATTATACCGATCCGTAAAAAATTTCTTACTAAAATGGTAAAACTTTAATGCCGAGCTTACATATACGCAAATACCAATTTTGTATATATGAATATGGTTTGGTATTATATTAATATTGCTTTTCTAAGAATGTAATTTCACTTTCACTTCAGACTGAAAACGTGGAGAATGCCTGTGTCAAAAATCAGGTATGAATCTGCTTATCCTAATTATCTCAATTACCATAAATGCTTTATTTATTGGCGGGTCTGGACTGCAAGATTTCTGAATTTTATATAAACGGATATCTAATTATGGCAGGCGTTTAATTGCTTCAAGTTATGTACGCTCGAAAAAATTACAATTATGGCAGGTCTCAACTCGTAGCCTGTATCTTTAGACCCGGGTATAAATAGAGCATTTCCGGTACACATATTATTTTTTTTACGTTTACAAATAGATTTTATTCATTATTGTTCTTTCCATGTTCATTTTACATACATTTATTTCGAAAAAGCTAAACACATATTATACTTATACATATGTACATAATATATATGCAGGTGTGGATTTGTGTCTCCCACTTCCTCTGTATCACGCTGGCAATCGAGGTAAGTTTACAGAAGATAAGTGAAAGTGAACCTGTTATCAGTGACCGCGGAAGCATGGGGACATCGTCTCTCTGTCCCCACTATTATTCGATGTCCCCATCGTCTCCCCATGCTAAATATATAAACCCGTCCCTCCCCCATCCCCATCCGACATACAATATTAATGTCCCCCACGGATTCCGCGGCCACTGCCTGTTACCTAAACCAGCACCGTTAAAATAAATAAAGATGCCAACTAAACAAACAAGATGAACAAAAGTAATCAACGTCTTCTATTTTCCTCCTCTAGCTTTTCATCTTAGGCTTCAATTTGATACGACCCGGAGCGACGGCTGACCAGATCATGACCTTGTAAAACCTTTCACCTTTACATATTAGCAAAATAATCGACTAAAAATTATAATAATGTGTACAAAAACCTCAAACCAGGGCACGTGTAATTTCATGCAATTATTTTGCGTTCAATTTCCAACTCGAGAAATTATGTAACATGACCCCAAATTTATTTTCTTTAATCTGTCCATTACTTTGACCGTGTCGTGTGCACCAAATTTTAAGTCAATTTAATCCATTATTTTGACCGCTGTCTGAAGAAAACGAATGCCAATTTTGTTCTTTCAGTGGGATCGGGATGGGCATCTGTCTCTTCAAGATTGCGTTTCGTCTCATTGCAGAAAAGTCTGTGAAGGAATATCTTGCCGGTTTGTTCATACAATTTGTCAATCAAAATATTTATGAAATTCTCTCTAATAATTCCTGTATGTCACAGATATTTATGACGTCCCTGGTGTTCACTTTTCCGACAGTATGTACACATTCAAATTTAAATGTTTTTTTCTATAAATTTAATTTGAATTAAAGACTAATTAAAATGAATGTAGGACTGGACGACTCATAGCCAAAATCTGCACATTTTTAATCATTTCTCAGCTCTACGAATTTATTTTACATAAAATACTGTACGACTGTACAACAGAGAGTTTCCATTTTTATTGTAATGTACACTCCCCCAGATTTTGACGCTTTTTGAAGGAAGAGATCTCTCCCTTAAACCTCACCGTCATTCAACTTACTGACTACAATTTGGTCTTTAAAATAAATTTTCAAAGGCGAAAAACGAGTTCTTAGCTAGTAACCACTTGTAAGAAGTAATGGGAATAAAATGCTTTTCTGGCAGGTATGTTGACCTGCAAGAAATGTACCGCGCAAGAAGTGACGCCCCGCCGCTATACATTATACGGCGCGTGGTTAATTAGATAGCGCATATTTCTTGTACTTTCTCCCAGATTCTTGCACCTCACATTTCTATCGTTTCTTTCTGACAATGCGATGGTGTGAAGTGTAACCCTCCGATTTGGTTAAAATTTTGAAATTATGTGGTCCATGTCAATACAACCAACGTTTCTTGAGGCAGTTTGTGCGGTGGTCAGAATTTGGCAAAATATTTGAGGGCAAGTTTGTGAGTATGTAGCAAACCCGCAAGAAATCAAATACATAACAGAGTCGAGAAATGATTAAAAAATATCTTGCTTTTGGTCATGACGTCAACTTCATAATCGTAATTACATTCCTTAATAAATCCACTAATTTTTTGCAGGCATGTACAACTCTTCCTCTCGCCCAGGAAGCAGGCACGACCTGGCGCAGATGGACTTGAACGGCGAGGCGAACACGTACACGCCATATCGCGTCCGCAGCTTTGACTACGACTACGATGACGAGTACTATTTCGAAGATGACGATAAGGACCCCAGGGATTTGTACTATGACAAATACGACGTCGTATGAGGAACATAGCAGAACTAAATATTCGTAATTATTACTCGTTAGAGCCTTACATACTTAATTGTGCAGAATAGTTGCGCAAAAGTCAAGTAAGAGATCAAGTCGTGCCAAATTTCGCGAATCAATAACAGTTCCCGCGGAAGCTTGGGGACAGAGGACAATGTCCCCACCGTTCTTCGATGTCCCCATCATCTGCCCATCTTATATAAACCCGTCCCTCCCCTAGTATCCTACAATGTCAATGTCCCCACATGTCCCCACGGCTTCCGCGGCCACTGATCAATAATACTCAGTCATAATCAGAAGAATAAAATATAATATCTTACATAATACGTATTAAGGTTGTTCTATCTCAAATTAGTTAATTTAATAAATTTATGACAATTTTGTCTTCATATGAAAAAGTTGATGCAATCAATAAAAATGCCATTGTATGAATTTGATCTCTTGCATATGCACTGCACTATTTTTACGGGGACACATATGATGTAAGTAGCGTGAGTCAAAATGAATTATCTGGGGGCAAATATCAATCAATCAATAGGGGCCCATTTCCGCAATGTATGTAAATTCCGTTTCACGCTATGTGGTGAACCTTGAGTTCACCACATATTTTGTATTTTTATTTGTACTTTATTTATATTTTGGCGTTTAAATTATTGAATTTCGTATGATTTTTACGCCAAAATAAAAATAACTGGTGTAAAATAATAAAATAATTCGACTCATTCGGTTAATGTACTCATCCTCAATGTGAACTCAAGTAACGCGAAACGGGGTTTAGGGTAGGGTGCAAATGCAAAATCCATAATGCATGCAACAGTCATACGAAAATACAGGATTTCTGAAGAAATTACGTACATTTTGATAGTTGTCAGCATACTTTATTTAAAAAATCATAAAGACAATGAGTACGTGATTTAATATTTACTAACTTGGCTAATTTTGGTAATTCCCTTTATAGCTCCTATAAAGTAAATAAATATAAATATAGTAGTGGGGTGCCTCATAGAAATAAAGTTATCCAAATGATCATCAAATCGATCGAAATTTCATTCCAGTTCAAATAAATATATACCTGTAAGAGAACAAGTATTTAAAAACGTACAGAAATTTACACACATATTATTACCTTATTTTTACCATGTTGCGCATGGATATTTCTTCGATTATAATCCAGAGGATGAAATATATCCAGCAAATTTTCATGAAAAACCAGGACAAAAGGTTGGTTTTGTCCAGGCTTATGGCCTCCAGAGCTCGACCTATTTCACCGACAATTTAATGCCATCCATGTAAATAGGCCGGTTTGAAAATAAATAAAACTCATTTGTTCTCTTCTGCGTCGCGAATCGTGTGACCTTTAATACGGCGTCGTGACTCATTCAGATGCCATTATGTATGCATTCACTAAGTAGTATGCACATTTCATATAGTTGCTTATGCATGCACTTTCACTTCTCATTTTTCTCGTGTAGGCAAGAATGAAATATTAGAATCTCAAACTTTAAAATTATATGTAAATCCGAATTAAGGAACTCTAATGTTACAAATATTATTATGAGGTGCTGAACCAATTGGTGCATGCATATTTCATGTTAATTGCTTATTCACTTTCACCTGATTATGTACATATGTATCTCCTCATCCTCTCGTCTAGTTAAGAAAATGTTTGAAAATTTGAAGGATTGAAATTGCAATTGGAAATTAAGGAACCAGTAAATCTGAAGGGAGGGTATGAGTAGGTTCATATTTTTTATATTGATAGTCATTCCATGAGCTTGACGATCTCTTTAAAAAGACTGCTTATTTTAGCTTAATTTAATCCTTCAAATTGCAGAATTAGGCCTTCAATGCTGCCAATTTTACCAACAATCATGACCAATATCTTTCAATGCATATGTAAAATAGTGCATGAAAACTTTTCATAACTAACAATGCGATGGTGTGAAGTGTAACTATCCGATTAGGTTGAAATTTTAAAATTATGTGGTTCAAGTCAATACAACCAACGTTTCTTGAGACACTTTGTGCGATGGTTGGGTCGAACTGTTCAAAATATTTCAGGTCAAAGTTGAAAAAATGGGCGAATTTTATCATGCGGAAGAAGCAATTCCCACTCCGAATGGAGAAATCGTCCATTGTTCAAGTTTGGCCTGAAATATTTCGACTAATTCTATAACCATCGAACAAATCTGTCCTGGAGGAATTCATATTTCTTCCTCTTGGCGTCCTCCGGCTTTTCGGATGCTGCATCATGATGTATGAATGAACGCCGCCGATAAATCTAATTCCCTATTCCTTCAACATTGTGACACCACGCCGCGCAAAAATCCCCAACATTGGCGCCGCCGCTGCTGCCAAATTGGTCAGCGTTGACCCCTGGAACGCAGATTTGAGTGAGATAAGACGATGCTGTCCGACATGTGAAATCCCATACCAGGGGTCTCCCTCTCGCCGTTCAAAGGATTAACGTTAGGTTTTACCGTGTACGTATGAAAATTGAAATAAAATCCTTTCCTTAACCTGACCCATCAGTTTACTCCTGTACAGATTTGTGACCAATTATGTAAGACCACAATCTTGTAGTCCAAAGGGCATGGAAACTTATCATGATTAACTGTTCATTCATATTGTGCTGCTGATTGCTTGGTTGTACATAAAAGTAAACGGTGTACGTATTTATTGTATGCTGCGAATTGAGTATAGAAATAAAACTACATATCTATCAATGTATTTATCATGGACCCGATCGAATTTCAGTTCAACTGTAGAGGGGGAAGTATATTTAGGAACGTACCGAATTTGGCCACGTATGTATTCCTAGCTTACTTTTACCATGCTACATACAAATTTCTTAAAACAAAAGGGTCACAATCCCGGGATGTACATAGGAGTAAAGCTATACATATATTCTAGCTTATTGGATCATCACACATCGATCGAATTCAGTTCCAATTGTACTGTATTTAAGAACTTACAGAATTTGGCCACGTATTTTTACCATGTACATATTTCTTAAAACAAAGGGTCACAATCCGGAGCGTGCAAATCTATGTATTGCCACCAGCTCCGAAAAACCATGGGTTCCGCACTCCTCTCCCATCGAACTCGACCTCCGTACTTCGCCCATAATTGTCATGTATGGCTGGTTTGGAAATTGAAATAAAATTCCTTTGTTCAATTCTGTTTATTTCTTGAATTGTGTGACCATTAATCCAGCGTCATGACTCATAGAGGGTGTTCCGGAAGTAATGCAACTTTGGTCAAATGCACATATAAACTGAAGCAATGCATTAGTTTAGGCGAAATTTTGGTCAGAAATATACAAAGGTTAAAGCTAATTACTTTTTGTTTCGAATGGTCCATACATCTCCTTCCGCCCAATTCGGGGAAGCTTTTGTCGGGTGCTTCCCATTCGTGCTTCGCCAGTTTCTGGTTACCTTTTTTTGGGATTTTTGACAACATGTGGTGAAATAAGTTCAAATTTTTGACTGAAGTTGTTCGATTACAATATTCTTTCTTGGATAAAAACTAAAATTGTTCAATAGGTCTTGTATTTGACAAATTTGGGAACGTTGTTCACCTCTCCCATGTTAATTGCATTTGATCCGTTTTAAGGCGGAACGGGATACTTTGGCTTAGATTTATTTTAAGGGGAAGGTTTTCATTTTCGGCAGCATTTAATACTGTATCGAAAGCATTTCGTTGCTCATCGTTAAGAGTATCTTGCAATGCGTCACCTTTTTGTTTCTCTGCAAGTACATCAAAATACTCGTCCGCAGCCGCACGCATATTGGCTGGTGGAGACGGCAAGCCAAAGTCTACGCATTTCTTGTAGCTCAAGATAAGAATTGCTTGAATTTCTACTAAAGCAAGATTTGTACAATGCTGGCAATTATCTGTGTGATTGTGCCTTGCATCTCTTGCAAAATCTTCATACAAATCGGATTTGTATTTTTCAAAAAGTTCCAAAGCGTTAGGAGGAACTGCAAACACGCAGATATACGCAAATAAGTCTCTCATTTGCCGAGGCATTTTCCAAATTGCTGCATCGGTTAATGCAAAGTCCCAAGTAGCATCATCACTAAATATGCCACTTTTTTGGGCTGCTTCTTTGAAGGTTGGATAGATTACATCTTCCACAGTTCTAAGATCTTCAAAGGAAGTAACCCCTCGCTTATGAAGCAACAGTAGTCTTAGGCAATATTTTTCTGCGTCGGTAGATAAATTAACAGGATACATTCTACCGATTGTATTATTTGTCTCTCTTTGACGTGGTTTCCAGACTCCACTTACTTTATTAAAGACATAATGTTCAGGGATATCGGCATATAAATAAAGCCTTGCATCTTCATCTGTATCGTTTAATTTAAACCAAGCCGTCAGCATAGTTTCTTTTGATCCGGCCCTTTCGGCCGCAGCTTCTACATTATCTGCATTGAAGTACACAGTTTGTTCACTCGGAAAATGTACTGGCAGTCTATAGATTGTATGTGACTGCTCATGCATAGAATTGCCAAAAAGTCGCCAGGCAGCTTCTGGAGCACTTATGTACCTTGAGTCCATAAAAGTTTTAATTTCATCATGATTAAGGACGTCTTGTTCAGAGATAGCAATATTTGCACAGTCATGTCCTTTATACACGTATTTGAAAAGGTACTTGACACTTTTTACAGATGCACAGCTTTCTACATTAATGTGACAATTATATTTCAAGCTCATATATGGATTATATGGGACAATCCAAGAGTTGTCAATCTGTCTGCCATTTACATCAGTTTGGCCAGTATTTCGTCTACGATATTTTGGATAACCATCGCAGTTTACCAAAGTTTCATTTTTGAATGGCTTTGGAAATTCTTTTGTACATTTTCCGTCAGGTCCCGTACATGGTGAGTTTAGATTTGCCGAACCACATGGGCCGTGTACCATATGCTTTGTTACAACTGCATGTAACCGAGGATATTCATTAATATCTGGTATTTCAGCGGATATAAGCTGATCAAGTTTTTCGGCATCCACAGGACCGTCATTTTTAACCATTAAAAGAATGTGGGCATGCGGAAGTCCCCTCTTTTGAAATTCAATTACATGAACTTTTGCTGTTAAAATGCCAAGTATATGTTTCTTGGAAATATCATCCAACAATTCTTTTAGCTTTAGGTTAAAGACCCTGGTTACTAAATCGGGTCTAAATTCCGCTCTTTGGCCATATTGAAGGTTATCTGTTATTTCGGGCCATTTTGGATTGCATGTCATAGTTACAAAGAAATCAGGCTTTCCAAATTTCCTCACAATTGCCATAGCATCTTGGTAATTTTGGGCCATATTTCTTGGACTTCCTATGAAAGAAGAAGGCAGTATAACCGCTCTTCCAGGTATTAGTCCTTGGTCATTGGCTGCATTATGGATATAATCCATGAGCCCAGCATATTGTTCCGCACGTAAAGTGCTCTGGTTTTGTCGGCAGAAATTCAATCTATTAGCCTCAGTTTTAACATATGCATCTACAAAGTATTGCTGTGTCAGCTTTCCTGCACATAGAAATGGATTCATCTCGTCACGAATTGATAGACGGTACCCATAATACTTTGAGTAATCCTTGTTCTTGGATTGGCAGAAGCTCGTCTCATATTTGCCAATGATGGGGGCCGATTAAGCTTAAGATCAATTCCCCAACTTTGATCTCCATATGGAAATAACAGTGGATATACCATTGGTTCCAAATTGGGATCCAAAATATTTATCCGTTCAGTTCTCTTTGGATTTGAATCATTTTCATTGGGTCTACAATGGATGAGAATGTCTCTTTCAAGAGGAGGTTCACCGTCAGCATTTTGAAAAATGACTGCAACTTCATTTACTCTAGGAACATTATATCGTCTTTGGTCAGATTTCCGATCTTGAACAATAGCCATAGCTACAGTCGCTGGTGCTACCCCATGAAGAGCAGCTTCTGCTAAGCATTCTTTTTCAACCTCGTGAAGCATTTTAAATGCTTTAGCGAAAGGATTATTTTGGGCCATGAATGAACCCAACTCTCGCATAATCTCAGCATTACAATGTGCATTTTCACGAATCATCATTCTTTGATCACATGCCTCATCGGGGTCAAGAATATAAAGTTGGGCAAATTTTCTTTGGCCCCCGTTGGATGAAGGGATCCAGTTCTGTGGTAAATTTGACCATTAATTCGAAAACAATAAGGTCCATATCCAGGGGGAGGGGCGATATTTGCCCCCATTGAGGCAAAAGCCAATGCGCTGTTAATTGAGCGAATGTTCTCAAAAAAGTTATTAGAATATTCATGCTCTTTTTTCATTAATTTTTCTATACCAAGAGCTAATTTAATAGGAGGAAGAACAACCTTCCCCTTTTGACAACATTGTGTAAATTTTTTGTCTTGTGGCCGTTCCATTAAAAAATGTTTTGCACCACAGAAAGAGCATATAGCAATTAATGCTATACAGTTGTGCTGCTGTAGATCGGCTTCATTGAACCTGTTAATTGATGCCGCGAGCGTGGTCTGATTTAAAGTTTGAAGTCTCCTTGCGGCTCTTGACGTTGATGCAACTGCTGCATGTTCAAGTCTGTGTACATTTCTCTGGGGTACTGTCATATTTGCAATTTTACTTCTCTTATTTTGACTATTTCTTTCTCGTTCAAGGGAACGTTGCCCTTCAGATAGACTTGCAACTCGGTTTCGCTCATTTTCTGCATTTTTTGCTCGCTCATGGGAACGTTGTTCGTCTGAGAGATTTGCGATTCGGTTTCTCTTATTTATTACATTATTTTCTCGTTCAAGTGATCGTTGCTCTGCAGATAGACTTGCAACTCGGTTTCGCTCATTCTCTGCATTCTTCCTTCGTTCAAGGGAACGTTGTTCTTCCGAGAGACCTGCAATTCGGTTTCTCTTATTTTCTGCATTCCTTTCTCGCTCTTCTAAACGTTGTTCTTCTGAACGGTTTGCACGCCACCTGCGCTTATTTTCAGAATTTCGTTTTTTCGCTTCAGCCTCTTCTTCTTGAGTCCTTTGCCCTTTTGGTGGCATTGTTCAATTTGTTACAATTTAATACGGCACCCTATAGCATATAACGTATTACAGTAATTTCTTACGGTACCCCGTAATTTACTACGACAGCGCGTAATTTATTGACACTTTGGCCTTTATTTTACGGCACTTTGGCCTTGATGTTACGGCACTTTGGCCTTGATTTACGGCACTTTGGCCTTGATTTACGGCACTTTGGCCTTGATTTACGGTACTTTGGCCTTGATTTTACGGCACTTTGGCCTTTATTTTACGGCACTTTGGCCTTGATTTACGGCACTTTGGCCTTGATTTACGGCACTTTGGCCTTTATCGGCGTAAACAATACAACCCCGAGGGGTAATATGTTTGTATATGTACAATGTATATGTGTGTATATATAATGTATGCGTGTATGTATGTATAATGTATGTATGTATGTAGTTATTTATTTTGTTGGGTTGTGGTTGGTTTTAAGTGGGAGGAGGAGGTGGGCGTGAAACTTGGAGGACTTGTGGATAAATGTGTTGTTGTCGGTCTGTTGATCAGATCCGACTGAGCGAGAAGAAGAGAGTACCGCGGTGGCCAGTCACGATGGTTCAGTGGTGGGGCGAGTTGCATTGCTGGAAGACGGACCCAGGGACCCAGGGATCATACTAACACTTTATTATTAGTGATGAATCCTAAACGAATATTTTCATGCACTTTTTGAAAATTGTCTGCAAAAATCGGAACGACCTGAGTATCCAATCCACATTCGATTGATTCATACGCATGAGAAATCCCAACCAGACAGTTTTTTTAATTTTAAGTTTTAATTAAGTTTTTGGAATTCACGAATTTTACAAATATTCCGATTCAGTTCCAAGTCGTGGGGGAGGACTGGCTAGGGGGGGATGGGTCACATGCATTCAGAGTTTATTATAGTCAATCAAATTTAGTAGAATTTAGCATATTTGATATTGAAACAGTTGCATGTATTTAGTAGTTTATTGAATAGATACGTATAAATAATTATTCATATCATATCATAATTTTTGTTGTGTTTAATTCCAAAATAGACAATTTGTCAAATTGATGTCGAGTTTTACTAGAAGTATTTTCCCCAATAATCCGAAGAATAAATTCTTAACCATTTTCTATTCATAAATATTCTCTACTTATTATTTGTGAACAATATCCTTGAAGAAAGGCGAAAAATTCCAGAAATGCTTGGTCTGGTATCAACGACCGGTTAAAAATATTGAGTTATTGCGGCTTAGAAAAACAATGGAATATTTTTTCCTCCTCAATATTCCTCAAAATAGTAAGTTTTGGAAGGTCTGGAAATATTAATCCCAATTCACCAAGAAACCTCCCCTTAGAACAACAATGGAATATTTTTCCTCTGATATTCCTCATAATGTGATCCTGGAAAGAAATATTAATCCCACCCCAATTTACCAAGAAACTTATTTCAGTACCTGCCACGAGGAAGACTAACCATTCCTCAGGTAAACGGCTGCTACCCGATTCGGCGACCAAATGACCCTTCACTTTGCATGGCGTGCTATGCATTTAACTCGTTACTTGCTTCCTACATACAACATATCTCGAGTGTATGGATTTCATTGCGAAGTTTGTAATCAGGGGGCCGATCACAAGAGTCATTTGCGCCTCCACATGCCCTCACCCTTTCGACCCCATGCTTGCGACTCTTGTAAAATATGTACGTTCACTAAGGAATCCCAGGTCACGATTCATAGGAGATCCTACACGGGCGAAGTGTAAGGTTATAGAATTAATTGACTAATTAGTTAATTAATTAGGTAACTAAAGTATGACAAGAATGTGCTATTTTTTAATGTATCTGTGTTCAGTTTAATGCATCCAAGCTAGAGGGGGATGGGTCAGAGTCAATCAAATGTAGCAAATTTACATTGAAACAGTTGCATGTTTTTATTAATTTAATGAATAGAAATAATTATTCATATTATATCATAATGTCGAAACTTTTGATTATAAGTATTTAAATCCATTATAGACAAGTTGCCAAATTGATATTTATTTGTATCATATTTTCCATAAAATTTGAGGAATAAATTCGTAAAATTTTGCATTCATAAGTATTCTCTACTTGTTTATAATAAGTATTATTTCTGAACAATACATATCTTTCAAGAATTAGAAAGGCTAAAACTTCCAGAAATGTGTGGTTTGGTTTGGTATCAACGACTGGTCAAAAATATTGAGTTACTTGCGCCTTATGAAAACATTGGAATATTTTTCCTCCAATCTTTTTCAGAACAGTATGTGCTGCAAGGTCTGGAAATATTAATCCCACCCAATTTACCAATAAACTTATTTCGGTACCCTGATAGGAGAAAACTAACCCTTCCTCAGGTATCGCGCTATCCGACTCCCCGAGTAAGTGACCCTTCACTTTGCATTGACTGCTTACTTGCTGCTTACCACCACATATAACTAATCCTTAACTGCCTCCAGTAAATAAAAAGCCCAGCATTCAACAATCAGTCCTCATTCGCAATTTCGTCCTCGTCCAGTAAGCAAGCTTTAAAATCAATCCACATTCCAATCAAGACGTAAAACCTGACAAGAAATCTGCCCCCATTAAACGGAAGAAGTTAAAGAACAATTAAATCTTGATAAGTGCTTGTTGATAAGAAGAGAACTTTTAAGTGTCCATGAGATCGGTTACGATATTGTCCCCAGACGCAGCATCATGAATCTGTATTACACCATGGATTGGTTACTGTCTATACTGCCCTATGATTTTTGTCAGACACAATATGCATGTGCTTCCACCTAAACTTGTCCCCCCGAACTATAAAGATATTTGATTATGTAGCTGTCATGAAATTCGTCACTTTCGTGAAAATTTTGACAAATATTTGTTTGGGTTTATTTTATTTTATAGATTGATCTATTGTCTTGAAATATTTTTAAACTCGTTAATTTTAATGCAAATTGTGAATGGACGACCCCAGGGTAGGCTTGGTTTTGATTGGTTACAGAGATAGGGCTTTGTACTGCAGGACTTGGTGCCTTCGCCCCCATTTTTGAGCTCAGTTTGAAGTGTATTATGCACAGTCACTCCCCAAACAGGCTCAGGTTGATGTTACAGAATGAATTTAAGATAATATTGTTCCTTTTATGTCCATCAAAATTTTTTTCCCGAATATTCGGACACAGGCACCAAATCGTGGCATGAGGCGCGTAGCACAATATCTGCCCATGTTGTCCCACTCTTCACAACACCAGTAACCTATCCATGGTGTAATACAGATTCATGCGCAGCATCCACGCCAAGAAGACCAAGCAGGCAACCAGTTTCAACGACTACTATCAAGAGTCTCAAAGGATGGAGAAGACTTCTGTGAAGTTCCGTTTATGGGGGGTTGACTGCAGTGATGGTGGTGATGAGGAAGATGAGACGATCGTCGTCGTCGTTGTGGTGTGTTCGTAATAATTGGGAGGCGAGATGAGACTTGGTTGCACTTTTCTTAGAGAGGTTTTATTTATTACTTGTACAAACAGGCAGAACTCTGCCTCTCCCAATAATATTGGGAGAGGTAACCTGCAGTAGCACAAAATACTTCCTCGACCGTCCTCCTTTTATGGTGGCTGCGCTTTCGCTTATATATCCTAGCAATACCTAATTGATACCTATGTGTTGACCGATTATGAACCGGTTGGCTACGCTGAATAGAGATATCTCAGATGAGGTTGTGACGAAGCTGTTTTCCAACATTGTCTCTGGTTTGTAAGAGATGATGGAGGTGAGCGGCATACTAATTAAGGGGTTTGGCATTAATGAAGTTGACCAAACCTGCTCTTTCACAATATCCACCTTTAGTAAGCGGTGGCCCTACCGCAACAAACGAAAAAATGCGAGATTTAATTCAGTCAGATTCTGTGTACCTACTTGGCGTCAACGTATTCAGAAAAGTCGGGAAAATTCGTCAAAAAATCCAAGTAAGTAAATTTGTGTTTTTTTTCAATTAAGTATGGAGAGGTATGTATTCGCGATGGTGGTGGGTGGACAATTGCATGTAAACTTTGTTGACGTAAAGTGTGTTCGTGAATGAAATATAATGGGGAGGTATTTTAGCAGAATAAAATGCATGCATAAATGCGTGCATGGCTGGTAAAATTAAAGAAAAAACTAAAACAAATTTTTAAAACTTATGTAGGAAAGTCAGAAAATTATTAACGAAAAATTAAAAATGAGGTAGCAGATTTTGATGGAAACAATTAAGATACTTAGATAGGAAAATTGTTAAAATTGGGATTTTGAAAAATTGCCAAAAATTAAAATTCTTAGATATTGAAATTGTTAAAATTGGGAGTTTGAAAAATTGCAAAAATTAAAATTCTTAGGTAGGAAAATTGTTAAAATTGGGAGTTTGAGAAATTGTGAAAATTAAAATTCTTAGATAGGAAAATTGTTAAAATTGAGAGATTGAAAAATTGTAAAAAATTAAAATTCTTAGATAGGAAAATTATTAAAATTGGGAGTTTGAGAAATTGTGAAAATTAAAATTCTTAGATAGGAAAATTGTTAAAATTTAGAGATTGAAAAATTTAAAAAAATTAAAATTCTTAGATAGGAAAATTATTAAAATTGGGTGAGGAGGACTGCATGTGTGTAGCCGATTGGACCGGATTGGAGCTGTCTGAAAAATATATATGTGCCCGGCAGGCCGAAGCAAAGTAAGCCAAAGACAGGAGTGCCAGATGTGAAAACAATGGTGTGATGACGAAAATAGTTATCTAAATTAGTTCATAGATCCTACAATTAAAATGTCTGAGAATGTAACAGAAATTAATGTAAAATAAAAAGTACTCTAACAATTAAAGAAAAAATTGGTAAACAATAATGGTGATTAATACTGGGCTAAAAATTACGGAAATTAATATTGTCCTTATGAGTAGTTATGGTTACCTGTTCTTAAGATGGGATTATAATGATGATAAAAAAAAATTATAAGTAACATGTGTTGGTTGATGTGTTTAGACCATGGTGGTAATCGAAGAATTATCTACTGGGCCGATAGTGCGGGATGTCGTGCCCTATCTGCCCAGCGCAGGGAAAGGATTGGACGTGTCCCCTTCATTGGTTGGGGGGAAAATGTATGATTATAAGATTAAGAGATAATAATGAGAAATAACAAGGTCCTGGTGAAGGGAAGGGCTGGTAAACCTAAAGTTGGTCGTTATTGCAGGGTGTCCTGGGGAAGGGGGCTGCGTTTCTTCATCACGGAGAAGATTCGGGGGGTCCATTTTGCGTGTTGGGTCGTGGAGGACGGACCCTCCGAATAGATGGGGCCTGAAGATTTGGGGCTGACGGACGGGAGTTGCGTGGTCCTCCGTCATCCCAGTTGGTCCCGTGAGATTGCGCTCTTTCCGCCCCGGGACGATTTGAATCTGCACAGCAGGTTTCTTCCGAACGAGCTCAAATTAGGAAGGTCGTCCGTGGACCCAAATCTGGAGTAAGTAAATTGACTTATTCCCAGGGGAGGGTGTATTTGGTGCGTGGGTTGTGTGATGTATAAATGGGCATTTTGCCAGGATTATCTTGGGGCCTCGGATGAGGTTCCGGGTGACGCCTTTCTATGATGGGGAAGGTGTCCACTATGCCCGGTGGGTACCGCAGACGACGTTGGACTTGGGATTTTTGGCGAGGGACTCCAATCCCGTGGAGGACGGCAGACGTCTGGTTGTGAGGGCGAGGAGTACCAGCCTCCAATTTCTGTGATGGAGGTGTCCCCCAACGAGTCGCGTCGAAGTCTTCGACCTTTGCCGCATCGCAGAGAAGATCGTGGTCATGTTTTGGGGTACAACCTACCCGAGTGTCGAGTTGTGTTAACTCGCCTTCCTGAGGTAGGCTCAGGGAGTGGCAGGGCTTCTGGAATCGAAGTCATAGATTTAACGTGCTCAGGTGAGGTGCTATTGTTGTCATATGGTTTGCTCAGTTAAGGCTGATTATGTTGTTGTTGCTTGCTTCTATGCTTCTTGTTAGATGATGACGCCGCAGCAGTTGGCACGGTGGTAAGTAGTTATCGTTGAGATGTCTGTGGATTGGTCTGTTTTTATTGATTTTTTTTTGTTGTTTGTTTGTGTTTTATTATTATTTATGTCGTTTTTTGTTTGGGGGGTGGTTGTGTTTGTGTTGGTTTATTTTTTGTTCTTTCTTGCGAGTGGAGAAGTAATGGTGACATGTGTGTTTAGGAGGTGGGCCACAGAACTGAAATGCAGCCGGGTAGTAGTGGTGGAAGAGGGACAACAGGCGGCAGTAATTATCAAGTAAGGGATGAGTTGTTTGCCAATTTAATAAAGATGAAACCCCTGAGTAGATGACCTGATAAAAAGATTGACTGTCGGAAATGGTTTGTATGTAGGTCCAATATTCGGGACCGGAGGAGGAGGAGGACTTGGAGGCGTTGTTTGTTAAGGTGAGGAGCCGGGCTAGTAGTGTGTGGATGTAGGGGGGCGCACTTGCTTGAAAAAAAATGATGGCCTGAAATTGTTTGAATTTGGCAGGTGAAACGTGTCCGGAAGGAGAAGAAGTCTTCCACTGGTGCAGGTGAGACCGAGAGGATCGCCAACCAGGCCGGTGGTAGCGGGAGGGTGATAGCGGAAGGAAAAACGAGGATAAAGGCCAGGTCGAAAAAGGTAATTGAAACTGAGTAAGGGAGAACCGTTGTTGGAGGGGTTGGACAGAGGTGTAATGGCGAAGATAATAATTAATTGTCTTGATGATTTCAGTGGTTTCGGAGGAGGTGTCCATGTGGCCATGTCTTCATCGCGATGGACCGATGGAGGTATCACCTGAAGAACTGCAACGGCGGTTCTTGTAATCAAGGAAGATGTCATCTGATAGGATGCCAAGGAAATCCTAATCCAGAAGTAGATTATCGTCGTCGTAGATAAGTTTTTGTTGTATCCAATAATGTGAACTATTTCCAATAATTTGTAACAGTTGGTTAATTGATTGCTGTCTAAATAAATTTGACAAAATTTCCAATATCTCCAAAAATTTGTAACCGTGGTGAATTTTTTTTTGTTGTTGAAATAAATTGACAAAATTTCCAATATCTCCAATAATTTGTAACCGTGGTTAATTGTTGGTCTTCTGAATGAAATTGATGGTGCTGAGAGGGTAAAACGGGTGTCTGAGTTGGTTGAAAGAACGAGAAGGGTGGGGTGTGGGGGTTCAGATGGACGGCAGAGAGAGGGATAGAGTCGCCGGAAGTTGAGCCGCAAGCAGGGGGAGATTAGGGAGGGCATGGATGAGGAGGTCTTCGGTGTAAAGAAAAGAAATATCCGTTGTAAATTGAAGGGGGGGGTGGTCTTTGGAGGATTGAAAAATTGTTGCGCCAGGCCGGAAGTGTGTAAGAGTCTATGGCGTGGTCGATATCTGATGGGACGTGTGGAGTGACGACGAGAGGCGGAATAAGATAGAATTCCGGGGCGTGTCTTAAAATTCGGGGGTAGATTTGAGGAAGGGGCGGTCGTGGGGGTGATAACTGGTGACCCATGTGCCTCCTCAGTATTTTGGGCTGAGGAGGGGAGGGTAAACAAAGCTTGATTGTGCCTGCTGCAGGTGTCGAAAGCGCCTTGGTGGGTGAGGACTGAAGGGTGGGAGATAATTTCTGGGTGTCTATTGCAAAATTCGTCGAACCACGCAATGTCAACGGTTGAAGTGGCGTGACAAAACTTGTTGGAGCGTGGGGGTTTCACTGTTATGGCGAATACATAAAAAATTTGTTTGAGGTGAAGATGGGTGAGGTGGTGTCCCATTTTGAACAGGCGACGTAATTCTGAGACCAATAAAAGTTCGTCCTCGTCTGTCAGCATCAAGATAATCGAGTACGGGCGGTTCTGTTGGGAGAGATAAGTGATGTCGGGTAAGCATGGCAGGAGTGGATCCATGGTGGGGTGTTTTGGTGTTTGGCAGCGCACTGGCAAGTGGTTGTAGTCCAATGGTTGAATGTTGGGTTATGCGGTTGGAGAATGATCGTCGTGAAAAAAAAACTGGATTGGAGCCGATGAGGCGTAGTTGAGGATCACCAATGTGTCTTCACTTTCAGAGTCGGGAAGTCTGGGTTACTTGTTGAAAACGTTCAAGTAGGAGAAGGGAGATCGGGAACTTCCAGAGTGAATGGAAGGCGAGAAAATAATGAGGCCAACTTATGGTGAGTGGAAGGTGTCCTTTTGATTCAAAAAAAATTGAAAGGGGGTTGTGTATGCGGGAAGTATGTACGTAAAGGGGCGTATTTAGGCAAGGAGGATCCGATGCATGTTGTGGGATATGACTCGTATCCCATATGAATCTAGGTGTCGGAACGTTGTCACGCTGGTTGGGTGAGGTGCAGAAGTGGGGTGAGGAGGTGGGTTGGATCTATGTAAGAGAAAAAGAATCCGTTGTCGTTGGTTGTTAAAGAAAGTGTGATTGGCGAATCCGTTGTCGTTGGTTGTTAAAGAAAGTGTGATTGGCATATGTCGGCGTGGCGGCGTATGGCAACGGATGGCGCTAAGTATTTTTATTGTTGAGGCGGATCGGCTGGATGAGATTGCATTGATGGAGAGAATGGCGTTGAATCTGGGGGTGGGGACGGCCTACTGTTAGCCGGCACAGGCCTTGAGGGAGTGGATGGAAGTGGTGGGGAAGGTTTGGAGCCGTCGGCGGGTATGTTCGGGTAGAGTGGGGGGATTGGAGAAGTTTCCTCAGTTTCGATTGGTTGTTCGGCGTGATCTTGATACGTGGTATGACGCGGTTTAAGACGCGGGAGATAGCGGGGGGAGTGAGAACAAGAACAAAGTTGGTACGCGTATGACAGGAGGCCCCTTTAGGGAGGGCGTGGAGGTAGTAAACGTAGGTTTCCTGGCACCGGTAGGAGTTTTGAAGGGGGAAAAATGGTGAGTTTTTCATTGTGTCGTGTGCAGAATCCATAAGCGCCATAATAGGTGAGGAGATTGATGTTGGTGAATAATTCCGGGTGTAGGGCTGCGAATTCGTTGAACCATTTTTCATCCACTGCTGTAGAGTCGGTGAAACTAAAGGGGCGTGGAGGTGAAAGGCTGGACGTAAATTTTCCACACATTTGGAGGAGGTGGTTGGGGGTGAAGAAAAAGTTCGCATCAAAAAGTCGAAGAAGTTCGGAGGCCAACTGCATTTCTTCTAGATAGGTCAGCATGAGGATTGAGTTGTTGTACGCCCGAAATTGGGTGGACGAGAAGGTGGACTTCGGCGACTTGGGAACTTAGGGTCCATGGCACGGGAGGATGAAATCCTCCTCTAGAGAAGTTGTGTGGTCCTGATGAACTGGTCGTCGTTCACTGTCACAGGGTGGAAGATACAAGACGGAGGAGCCAGTGTCTGGGGCGATACTGCAGGTTGCGAGGTGAAGAGTGTCGTCTGGGAGAAGAATATGGGTTGGTGGGTGGAGCTAGATTGTGGTCGGGGGGTCGGATCGTTGTAAGTGAGACGGCTAATTGTTTGTGATCAGCATGGGAGATGAGCCTTGAAGCGAGGAGAGTAATATTGTGGTCCAGTTGGTCCACAAGGTATATGGATTGAGAATAACATCGGGGGCGAGTAAAGTGTTGAGTCAACCGGTGAGGTGAGGTATTGAGTATATAGAGGTAGTGTAGAAGATACCGTTATACTAAACGTATTGCTGAGTCGCGTACGTGGTCCGTGAACAGACGGGGAGGTACGTAGTAGCGATTAAGAAAGAAAACTAATGTAATTGAGCGGACAATTCGCTACTGGTTGAATGACAGATCGAAGGTTGCCTAATACTGGAAAAAATGTGCAGACGAAGGTGACCAGGAGGAGCTTACTAGAGTTAAATCTTAAGGTAGGGGAGTGAGGGTACTCATTAGGAGATGCCCATCGAGGTCTATACGCAACGTAAATGCACAGGAGAAGGAACTCTCCTGTGGATTTATGATTATCGCGTCGTGAGTTCTCTTATATATTTAATGCGGCGAATGGTTGTGGGGACCATAGAGCGACCGCTGTTTAATATGGTAGGCTATCCGGTTTTCGCTTCTAAGTAATAGTTATGTGGTACAAAAGAATATGGGATGTCTACGTAATCCTAGATATTGAAAATCACCTATGGAAAAGGGCAAAAAAATCCACAAGAGAAAGAATTCTCTTGTGGATTTTTTTTTTTAAATCCTATGGGTGGGTTTTATAATACGTATATATATATCTGGGTGACCGGTAAGTATTACTATTTATTACTATTGTATTACGGGGATAGTCAAGGGGACCATCCTGGGTTCGCCGTGATACGTATAGAATTAATACAACTATCTGGGTGACCGGTAATTATTACTATTTATTACTATTGTATTACGGGGATAGTCAAGGGGACCATCCTGGGTTCGCCGTGATACGTATATAAGTAATACAGCTAGTGTAATATGGTGATCTAATTGAGAACGTTGCCGAGGGGCAGAGGTTGGTCAAACTCTGCCTGGTTTAAAAGTATGTGGGATAGAGAAATTCGTGTGTCGTGAGGCGACGCAATCGGGGCATGAAGGAAAAGGAATGTTGCCACCGGCGGTGTGGGGGGCGAGGCGTTGGCTGGGTGAAGAAGGTAGAGGGTTAGAATTGGAAAGTGGTCGGGAGAGGTTGGTAGGTTGATTAGGTCGAGTTAATAGATCTGGTCGCCAGGTATTTGGGATATGTGAGGAGGAGCGATTTGGAGTGTAGTTAGTGTGTATAGGCAATAAGTTAGAACGTGATTGGCGGGGGTGTGCGTTAGGGGGAGAATACAACGAGTGATTATCACTACGAGGTCGGTTAGTATTGGGTTTGTAGCGTCGTCGAGAATGGACTCTCCCACCTCCACCAAAATTACGGCCGTCACCATCCTGTATGTGATTCTGGGGGGTAGAGAAACCGCCACCACGGTTGATGGAATACGAAGATCTACCCCTATGGTTACGGTTACGGTTACCCTGTGAGGTGCGCTGTTGGTAGTTATTGTGTCTAAAACCACCCGTCGGTGGGGAATCTGGGAAGGTCATGTGCTGACCCGAGGAGCGAGGGCGAGGTGCATCTAACATATGAATAGAATCTGAACCTGCAGAGACTACATGAGGCCTCATGTCGGATGTACCAATCCCTTGTTGTAATTGGGAAGGAAGTTGTTGGGCTAAGAGAGAGACGAAGTGCGGGTCGTTGGTCGATCGGGGATTGACGAATGGGGGGTGTGCATTACAGTCTTGAATGGAAGTAAACCTTAAGGCTTGAATGAGGTGGACGAAAACTGCATCGTAGGAAGAAGATGTAGCGGGTGTGGGCCACCCCGTCAAATTGTCGATGTGAGAGATGTGTGGTGGGCAGGCGCAGAAGTCGCCATCAATGGTCGAGATATGCGAGGGAGGGAAAGGTGGTCGATAGAATGCGTTGGTATGGTGTGGAGGTACAGGTTGGAAGGAAGGTAGAATGTGAGGTGGCACAAAAATGTTATCAGGGAGAGGTGCCGCGGGGGTTGGTAAAGGTTCCAACTCCGTATTAGGACAGACTTGTGGGAAAAAAGGAGGAGACTTAGTATCTGTCAGGGGTGAACATCCTGGAGAGATGGTGATGTCGTTGATAGGTGTCCCCATTTGGAAAAGAGTGGGTGATGCAATAATGAAAGGAAAAATTG